TTCAGTGTTGACTTATGATGGGCTCTCATTAGTGTTACACTGCTGACTAACAGCAGGAGGCCATTTGAGCCTCAGGAAGGTCCCGTTTCACTAAACAGGTTCTGTAATTCACACTGTGGAGTCCAACATCATGCCTAAAACTACCTTACTGACAGACTGCATAAATCCATTTTATATTCTACTGTATGCTATATATTGCAGCAGGCTTTTGTATTTGTCGTTCTCACACACCACAGTGTTAATAACCTGTCTTTCCCAAACCAGCAGCACGCTGGGCCAGGCATAGTGTTTCATAAATGAAAGATGACACAGAAGGAGTGAGAGGACACCAGAGGTGGTGGTGGTACTGGTGGTGGGGCTGCCACAGGGAGGAAATGATGTCACTCACCCAGCAGACAACCTAGTTCTCCTCTTGATCGCTGTGTTGAATATTTCAGGAGGTGTGTGCTGTGTTCCCCTGAGCTATCTGCCATCCCACCGATGATACCAGGTCATTATCATTAGTCTGAATTTGTTCAGGTTCAGTCAGAGATTATAAATCATATTTTAAGGAAACTGCTAAATAGAACGTGGGAGACATTGTTATCTGAAATTGAACTAGAAAGTCTGGGTTCAAGGGTGGAGTTCGTTCACGGAATGTGGATAATGTCATCAGGTGGAGATTGGGTTGGTTGCCAGGTGGAGATAAATGGCGGGGTATAATTATGTGTATTTTATCAGGCTGAGGCAGCCAGGCGCTGGTACAGAACAGCTCTGCTCTGTCCTTGTCACGGCTCCTGAATGGCAGCTTTGGCCAGGAAGTGCCATGCCAGCATGGAGAGACAAGGTGCCTTTCAGGAAACGTACATTCTTTATACAGCACAAAACCAGCCAGGCTAACAAGGGTATTGGCAAATACTGTAAGTTACTATTTTTCTACTGTTACCTTTGCTCCTCATTTGTTGTTGTGAGATTTTCATGTAAGTCTGATGATTTGAAAATATTCCAGAGGCCTTTGCTGCGACCACCATATTTTTCTATGGCTGTGTTCATTCACTATTATGTTATGTGTGGCTTGGGAGACATGGGTAGGGTCATAAGCTATGTTTTTGTGCTACATGTATGTTGTGATGTACACTGCCCCCTGTATTTCATTTAAAGAACATGCTGTCAGTGCTGTAAGGCTAAAGCAGGAAACTTTCATAGCAGTTTGTGTCAGTCAAGAATTCTAAATCCAATTCAGTTACAGAGAAACTACTCCTGTCTGAGTGCTGGTGTTTGTGTATGGTATTTGAGGGAGGCATTATAGACAGAAACAGAGACATCTTACTATCCTGCTCATCATTCTTAATACAGCCTCCATCTGCCCTGACTGGGGATTTAAGATGGGTTTTAGCCCCTCTGACCCACCTACTGTAGAGGCACACACACACACAGACACACACACACACATCACACACACACATCACACCTGGTGCGTGTGATGTGAGTTGACACTGGAACACTTACTGTGTGCTGGAATATTCAGGCCAAGGAGCCATTACCAGTAGATCAGCAGAGCCTGGGCCAAGTGACAAAAGGATGCTCCTTATACGCTGCGTTAGAGCACTGTCCCGGAAACAGAAGGCAAGACATGTGTCTGCTCCCAAGGTGAAGAAGGCTGTGCAGCTGGAAAGGATGACATCATCTAGTTCCTCATGCACACACACACACACACACACACACACACACACACACACACGCACACTCGCACACACGCACACGCACACGAACACACACACACACAAGATGAGTAATAGATAGGAGAATAAGATGTAGAGGAAGCTACCATGGCCCTATCACTAATCCAAAAAGTACCAACTGTAGCAAATGAACAGCTATGGGATAGCTTTCTCTTATCCTCCTCTCTTATTTTGGTTGGTCTGTTTTGTCCATATCCTAATGTTGGCCACAGGGCTCCCTCTTCCCCCTCACTGTCGGCCATTTTAGCCTTATCTTCCACTGACTCAAGGTGACAGTTGATTTTCAGCTGAGGCCATTTAGAAGATGAAATAGGAGTTCAGCTTCAATAATGTGCTCTGGTCTATGATGAGTAACATTAGCAGGGAACAAAGAAAGCATTAGGATGAAAACAGACTCCTATTTCCTTATTCATTTGGTTTCCTCAAGCCACACTTGATGTAATCTCCAGCCCAATAACACTCTTCAAATCCAATATTTTTGCGAAACACTCCCATCTTCTCAGATACATTACCACTGTAATAACCAAGCTTTATCCCCCAGTATCAATTCACAGAGAAGGCACCGGTGAGATCAGCATAAACCTGATTACAGTATGACCCGTTGGTGATAAAGTCCTTTTCATAAGCTGTTTGGAGGCCACATTACATGTCACATGTATTTGAGATAATGCACTATTTAATTAGAAAAGGGATATCTCCCATTGTTTTTTTAATGAGGGACACTTTCAAAAAGCTAGAAGAGGCATCAGAGAATCAGACAGAGGATAGGATGGATAATTGTTGCTCATGAGTTCCAGGGATTCAACAGGGATGCATTTCTACTCAAGAGCTCTATTCAGAAATGTTTTCCTTCTGATTCACTCTCAAATGGACATAAATCATTCTGATGGATGTCATTTCATATGGAGGATGACGTTTTCTGATTTGCATGATCCTAGGAAGTTTCAATTTTTCTTTATCTTTGATTTATTTTCATGTAGTATGCTCAATTGAATACACTCTACCACATGAGTAAGACTTTACTTGACACCCAGCATCATAACAGGTTATGACACGGTCATAAACATGTCATAATATGTCATAACAACTGACATAACTTGTCATACCCTGTCATAATATGGTCATAACATTGTCATGACCCATATATTTACACTTGTTGTGACATATATTGCATTATTTTATGGCTGGTTATGACACCTACATAAGTGTGTGAAAACCCACATTTATTCAAATGTGTTTTTTCCCTGTCAAGAAGTTTCCTTTCATTTGAAAGTTTGTTTCTTAAGTCCGTTGTTGTTGTTGTAATGAATTCTTTACAGTAATTATTTAAAATAACTTGTAGAAAATACTCTTTATGACACTGTCATAAAGCATTATGACCATCCTATGTCACTTTACTTGGACTAAGAAAATACACTTTATGACACTGTCAAGAAGCATTATGTCTGACATCAATGTGTGCAAAATTACAATGATAATTGAATATGGTCAATTTCAGAAAATGTTAAAATAACATAAACATACTGTTGACAAGTAGGCTATTGTGTAATGGAATGTTTTGCCTAGTGTGGTAGGTTTTGTGGGTTTTGACACTCTTATGTAGGTGTCATAAACAGCCATAAAATAATGCTTGCGAAAGTATTCACCCCCCTTGGCATTTTTCCTATTTTGTTGCCTTACAACCTGGAATTAAAATGGATTATTTGGGGGTTTGTATAATTTGATTTACACAACATGCCTACCACCATGGGTTCCGCTGTTGTACAGCAATCTTAAGTCATACCACATATTCTCAATTGGATTGAGGTCTGGGCTTTGACTAGGCCATTCCAAGACATTTAAATCTTTCCCCTTAAACCACTCAAGTGTTGCTTTAGCAGTATGCTTAGGGTCATTGTCCTGCTGGAAGGTGAACCTCCGTCCCAGTCTCAAATCTCTGGAAGACTGAAACAGGTTTCCCTCAAGAATTTCCCTTTATTTAGCGCCATCCATCATTGCTTTAATTCTGACCAGTTTCCCAGTCCCTGCCGATGAAAAACACCCCTTCAGCATGATGCTGCCACCACCATGGGGATGGTGTTCTCGGGGTGATGAGAGGTGTTGGGTTTGCGCCAGACATAGCGTTTTCCTTGATGGCCAGAAAGCTCAATTTTTGTCTCATCTGACCAGAGTACCTTCTTCCATATGTTTGGGGAGTCTCCCACATGGCTATTGGTGAACACCAAACGTGTTTGCTTATTTTTTTCTTCAAGCAATGGCTTTGTTCTGGCCACTCTTCCGTAAAGCCCAGCTCTGTGGAGTGTATGGCTTAAAGTGGACTATGGACAGATACTCCAATCTTTGCTGTGGAGCTTTGCAGCTCCTTCAGGGTTATCTTTGGTCTCTGTTGCCTCTTTGATTAATGACCTCCTTGCCTGGTCCGTGAGTTTTGGTGGGCGGCCCTCTCTTGGCAGGTTTATTGTGGTACCATATTCTTTCCATTTTGTAATAATCTATTTAATGGTGCTCCGTGGGATGTTCAAAGTTTCTGATATTTTTTATAACCCAACCCTGATCTGTACTTCTCCACAACTGTGTCCCTGACCTGTTTGGAGAGCTCCTTGGTCTTCATGGTGCCGCTTGCTTGGTGGTGCCCCTTGCTTAGTGGTGTTGCAGACTCTGGGGCCTTTCAGAACAGGTGTATATATACTGAGATCATGTGACAGATCATGTGACACTTAGATTGCACACAGATGGACTTTATTTAACTAATTATGTGACTTCTGAAGGTAATTGGTTGCACCAGATCTTATTTAGGGGCTTCATAGCAAAGGGGGTGAATACATATGCACGCACCACTTTTCCGTTATTTATTTTTTAGAATTTTTTTCATTTCACTTCACCAATTTTGAACTATTTTGTGTATGTCCATTACATGAAATCCAAAAAAAAATCAATTTAAATTACAGGTTGTAATGCAACAAAATAGGAAAAATGCCAAGGGGGATGAATACTTTTGCAAGGCACTGTATGTCACAACAGGTCTAAATATATGTGCCATGACAGTGTTATGACCATATTATGACAAGTTATGTCAAGTTATGTCAGCTGTTATGACATATTATGACATGATTATGACCTTCTCATAACATGTTATGATGCTGGGTGTCAAGTAAAGTGTGTGTGTACACGTGTGTGTACACACACTCTCTCTGTTTGTACAGCAGGGCCCATCTGTGCAGTGTAAATTACATGCTAATGTATTTGTTTGCTTGGGCAGCGTGACGGACGCGTTGGAGCATGAAAGCTGGGCAGTTGGTTGGTGCAGGGTTTCAGCAGGGAGTTAGTTCCTCAGCCAGCAGGACACGGCAGGAGGGACGCCCAGGGGCTTTGACCTTTTACCATGTCACTATCCTGGGGTGAGAGGGGGCCAAAATACTGGTCCTACTCAGACTGTGGGCCACTGATAACGCTACTCAAAAATCCCCCAATATTTCATACTTCTTTTGTGTCCAGTCCCAAGCGAGACTTTCTGAAAAATATATTTTAAGGAAGAAGAGACGTTTCTTAGTATTGCTAGGTGGAAAGGTTGAGGCAGAAATTAACTTATGGTGAATCCACCTCCAACCTCCAATGCATCTGTTCTAACTAAACTAGCATACGTAATGACTTGTCAGCTGTGCAAAGGTTAATGTATGATGTGTCAGCTGTTCATGTATAATGTATTTATCATCTTTGGGAAAAATATACACATTTAGATTTTATATTCGATTAGAAGCAGCAGCCAACCGTAACCGGTGTGATTTGTATGTGACCTCAGTATTCCCCTCACAGTGGAGATGTACTGTGGGTAATCACAATCCAGCATATAGAAGCACACCCACAGTAAGCTCTCCCTATAATATATTCTTCTCATTTAAAATGAGGCTTTGGCACATAATTTGTACTGGGAGGTAGAGAGTATTGATGGTTGATAGAAGAATTTGGTAATGACTAATTATTACACTCCGATTCTTTGTGAAATGTGTTCGAATCATAAGACTACAATCTGATAATGTGTTTAGCTTAGTTAGAAGTACAACTAGGGCATTGATTCATTTGTATATCTATGCAAGCAGAGTGCAACTGTGAAACCAATAACAGAAAACAGGATACGAAACTAGACAGTGAAAAACATGTCCCCACCTAGGGTGAGGACAGTGAGAGAGCTTAGAGAGTTAATCATATGTGCTTGTATAAGATGCATATTTGCCCAGCAACAGAGTATTTGTGTCTTGTGAAACCAGTAAAGGAAGTCTGTGTATGTGTGACCTGATACTCGAGGAACCAAAAAAACAACCACACGAACACAGCTGGAGTGTGAAATAGATACAAGAAGAAACAATAGGTTGTTGTGCAAGTTTACAGAGAAATGTGACAGTTGCCTAAATATGGGCTAGGAGTTTTCTCATTGGCCCACTTAGGGGCGTAGTAAAGGTATAAAAAACATTGTGCATTGTATGATTTTCAGAGCGCTCTCAATGAATAAAGACTGACCATTGCAGAAAGGGGTCTTTGTTTAATTTATTTAAACTAGAGATTTACACCTCTGGGAATTATTCAAAGATTTAAGAAGTGTTTGACTTCAACCATTGAGATAACAAAATTCTTGTGACAATGGTATAAAAGGTCTGATAGGAACACTGTGAGGAGATCAACATGCTGCTAATAGGATGTGTGCTATCATGGTTTCAGCCTCCCACAGGCCCTGAATCCTGGGTGACAGCTTTGTGACACACCAAATGTCTATAACAAATGTCCTGTGAGGAGAGCAGGGTTTGAACAATCAAACTGTGATCACTTGTGGTCCACGGCAGAGAATAAACTAGGATGACAGGACCTCCTGACAGGGCTGTGACATGCACCTCCTGTCCTCTCCGCACCACACTGGGAGGCTCCACTCTGATTTGTGACCTCACGCCTCAGTGTCATGCGGACGTGAGGGAATAAATAAAACTGGACACCTGTCACCTGTAGAAGGATAAACAATTTGTTTTAAATTAGATGCCCACTCAACACTCACCCACTTTCTCAACTAAGGCCCTACTTTCTCTCTCTCATTTAACCGTCATAAAAAGGAATCAGCTGTTCCCTATCAGTCAGTCAAAGCGGTCCTCAGCATGTTACAACCGCTGTCCTGGCCGCTACTCGAACCGCCTCTAACATCCAGAGTGTTGTCCCCCATTGCCCCATCTCCCCAAAGCATGAAGTCTCCTGCTACTGGCTGAGTCTGCCAGGTCTATTAAGATTAGATTAGAATTTATGAAGATTGCCTCACCTGGCTCACTGGTATAATATATGCTGCTGTAGTAATTCACATTTGGTCCTTCATTTCCTAAGCAGCCAGGGGCCCCCATATTTCACCATGACAATGTAATTACAGGTCCACATTAATAAGTCCTTATTGTTTAGAATTGGGGCTGAAGAAAACACTGACTATAAAACTAAAGCCGTCTTGTCATTCACATGGATGTTTACCTAAGAACAGAGGGCAAAGTGATTTACACACACAGCTTACAACCTTATTGATTACAGGGGGGCTTTCACAGACACACAAACACACACACCCACATGACAGATGTGCAGAACAGAGGATCCACAAGCCCTTTGTGGACTGATTAGCAGGAAATCTCAGTAATGACTTGTGATCCAGGGGATAAGTAAATGGATAAGTAAACTAAATGTGTGGTTTAATACCTTAAACCAGGTCTAATCTGTCTTGGCTGTGTTGCTGTCTGGTCTTTGATGCTTTATATCTTTGCATGCCTTGAGCAACACATCATTTCTTCTGTCACTATTCACTTCTGTTTGTCTACCTGATTTAGTAGTTGCCCTTTGGGCATTTTGTCACTCATACCAGTGTATAACATCACAGATTTCAATGGCCTGTGAAATAGGATTTTTTGTTGTTATTAAAACCCTTTCCTACAGTCAAGTTACCAAATCGCTCTCTACATCTACCACTCTCACTCTGTGTCTCACTTGTTTCCTTCCTTTCTGCTGCAGAAAAACTTGTCAGGAAGGAAGGAAATGAGTGAGCCACAGGGGGGCTCAGAGTAGGATTGTATCAGAGAGTATATAAAAGGTAACTTATTCAGTGGTTCTGAGATGATGACATATGGTCTGAAATTGTGTCTTTGGGCTGTTTGCGGTCAGAAGGATTTAGCCTTGGCCAATGAGAGAGGAGTAGGAGTGTGGAAATCACAGAACGCTATAGAAGGTAGTGAAGACACATCAAGGTATGGTTTAAAAATGGCTTCTGTACTGTGTGTTACTGCTGATGGGTTTCCTATAGTGCATTAACGTAACCTTTTCTCAGTGCTATATTTGTTCACATGGGCCATTTCAGAGCCATTATCGAGCTTGTCAATTCCCCTATCCCTTCCCTATTTTAATGAACATGTTTTCTAAGCAGATCAATGCGTTATTTTTATGTCTCACACTTTTCGTAAATATTCTTTCACAAATCAATACAGTGCTTGATGTGCTGCATCACCTCCTCCCCCACATGCAACCCCTGCCCCATCTTCCAAACACACAAGGTCGTCACTGCATGGTAAGATGGTTAGTGGTGCTCAGCTTTTATTCCATGAATCTTATGGGCATTGATGCAACCTTTTTCTGCCTGATGAAAGATTTCACTAAATTTGGTATTTGTTTAATATAAGCTTACAGTGAGTACGTTGTTGATCTAGGTCAAATGTACAATCAGGAATATATCACAGATTGTATGTGAAAACAGAGCAGTGCAGCACAAAAGGTTTGCTGAAAAGGAGCAAGTATGATGTCATCGCTAGCCTCTCAGCACTCTTCTAGCCGATGAAATCGATTTAAACATTCAACCGAGACTCAGGGCATTAGAGATGTATTATTTCAACATGGGAGAAGAGACGTGGTTCTCATGAAACACATATCCATTCTCAGATCAGATAGTTGCAGGGTCTGTGTTAGGGCGGGGACATTGTTCTACTGGAGATGGGGGGGACTTGGCAGGGGCTTGTGTGATTACTGCTTACACTGATTTATAACTCACTTTTAATTATCTGAGGGGGACTAGAGCCTGTGCCAACAGCTACATCCTCTGATGTTGGGACAGGAAGGGGAGAGCGAGCCCTCTTTGGTTACCACCTCAGCTACTGCCCCTATGGTCTGAGACTGAGACAGGGGTCCTGGAGTTTCAGCAAGCCTCAGTGGACCAGGCCAGATGTATGTGTCTGAAATGTATACCCGGTATGGGATCTGAGGATTCCTAATGGAAATATGAAGCCATGTTCTACTGGACATGGAAGTCTAACTAACATTCCCTGGTGACCTATAAATTAGACTGTTGTGAGGGCCACACAAATCACTGCCTCAGCATATCTTCTCTAGTTTCTCTCTCCTCTACTGTAGAAAGACACTGGCAGCTCCTGAATTATAATGACTTTTGTAGTTGTTTAAACAATGTAAAAGTTTTGACAAATATCCACACAAAATCCCAGTTGTATATGAATTTTATATTCCTGACTTTCATTTTAGTTGATATCCCTAATTGGATTCAGTTCGCAGTTCAACAAGTGGCCAGCTTGATCATTAAAAAAATTATATCTGTGATTTATAGTAATCATCATGTCATTTCCATTTAAGGGTTAGTTTATTTCTGCTGAGAACCTTGAAAGCCATTAAATCTTGGTAATGAGATTTTCATTATAAAAAGAGCAGCAGACGATTCATGGAACCTCTGAGGCTGAGCAGTGACATTACTCCAACTTCCTTCACATCCTCTCTCCTTCACATGATCAATGGGGATAACCAAAGTCAAACGATCATGACTCTCCTGTAAATATTGTTGTTTCTAAACCCACATGAGAAAGAGTCAGATGTGTGTGTGTGGTTGTATTTCTGAGGGAGCCATCCCTTATCTCTCTGATTGGCTGTTTCCATTCACAAACACTAAGTAAACAAGATGCTCTGTATGAAACCATCCCAGAGGAATCTTTCAGCATAGCCTGTCTGCATGGCATCTGTAACAATGTTCTCCCTCTCTCCTTCACTCGCTCTCTCTCATTTCTTTTTCGTGCAAGAGTAGCATGGCGGCTTATGTAAGGCCTAACCCCTGTAGTTCCAGGCAAATTGAGTCGTAGAAACTCATTGGTGTAATTTGGATAATGAATTCCAAAGATATCCCCACTGCTTAGGTAAGCCTAGTATGCTTAATTCTACAGCCTTGTTCTTTAAATCAATATTAAGCCTTAATTCCTGATTCTGATTCATTTGTCAACCTGTGAGTTGAATTTAGCGAGGGTGGCCAGGAATGGGTTACATGACTTCCATGACTAATGAATTTGATCATGGAAATGAATAAAGGAATTATTCCATGGTATGAACATACGTCTCATGTGGAGTCTTGAAATCTGAAGGGTGGTGTGCAACGTCAACATATGTCTTTTTCATATTTTAGAGACATACAAGGGTTGTTGCTCACACCAAACTCACCAGAACCAAAAAAAACATTGTGGCCCCACTGACAGTAATAGTGTTGTTCATTACCATCATGATTATCATAAATGAGGAGTTTTGGGAGCCTGTAGAACAGTGGTATTCAAACTTTCACAGTGGGGAACCCCATTTTTTTCTGCCAGAATTTAAGGGGATCCCCAAATGTTTTTGTTGTTGAATTTCTCGCGACCCTGCCTCACCCCAAATATAATGAACAACTTTAAAATAGTTACATTTTCATCTCTTATCAAAATGAAAAGAAACCAATAAAAACATTTACTCAATAAAGTGTTATTTTCAAATTATCTTTCTCAAAACATTAATGTTGTCCATAAAATAATCTGCACTCTTAATTGTTTTTAAATTGTATTTTTTAATAAAAATAAAAATAAATGCCGACCCCACTGCAGTTTTTCGACTTTGAATACCACTGCTGTAGAGGGAGGGGACTAGGGTAAGAGGGGTTAATTTGGAGCAGGACTGTTTTCGTCTCTCATAATTATTTTTAATGTCAGTCATTAAGCCGTCCCTTGGGGGAGTGTTGCAGCAGCAGTCATCTCTGTTTGGGCTTTAGATCATCATCAGCGCTGCTTTTCCATTAACCTTCCTCTGTTCCCTTATCCCACAGGATGCAGTCACTGAGGCAGTTTCTGCTAATCCAAACAGTTGTATAAAAAACCTTGTGTACACTCCCCAACGTATTTATTCGGACAGTGAGGCTTAAAATGTCAAAATTTGGCTCTATACTCCAGCATTTTGGATTTGAGATCAAATGTTTCATTTGAGGCGACAGTACAGTGTCACCTTTTAGTTAAACGTTTTTTTTCATGTATTTGGACAAATGAACTTATAGTGTATTAAAGTAGTCAAAAGTGTAGTATTTGGTCCCATATACCTAGCACGCAATGATTACATCAAGCTTGTGGCTCTATGCATTTGCAGTTTGTTATGGTTGTGTTTCGGATTATGTTTTGCCCAATAGAAACTGAATGATGAATAATTCAGTGACATTATTGTAAATAAGAATAGAAGATGTTTCTGAATACTTCTACATTAATGTGGAGGCTACCATGATTATGGATAATCATGAATGAATCGTGAATAATGATGAGTGAGAAAGTTACAGAGGAATAAAGATCATACCCCCCTAAAAATGCTAACCTTGTTATGGGGGCATGATCTTTGTGGATCATTTGTGCAATCCGAAACACAACCAAAACAAACTGCAAATGCATCCAACAAGTTTGTAGTCACAAGCTTGATGTAGTCATTGCATGCTAGGAATACTAAACTTTGGACTAAATTGAATACACTATAAATGAATTTGTCCAAATACTTATGACGCGTTCAAATGGACTAGATACATAAAGTGCATTCATTTCTAAACGGTAAAACAGATATGTATGAAAATACGCTCAAATTCTGTACTTTCGCCTCATATAAAATATTTGATCTCAAATCCAAAATGCTGGCGTATAAAGAAGTTGTAGCTTCACTGTCCAAATAAATACAAAAGGGAGTGCATGTCAAGACTATACTTACCACTTTTAATGTGTTCTATAATATAGGCTTTAGAAGGCTCTTTCTCTACTTCTTAATTTCTCTCTTTTTAATTTCAACCCTTTAATGCGTGTGAGTGCGTAAAAATCATCTGTCCTCGGTTGCAACACTCACTGCCGATTTCCAAACTGCCTCTGAAAACAACGTCAGCACAAAAACTGTTTGTTGGGAGCTTCATGAAATGGGTTTCCATGGACGAGCAGCCACACACAAGCCTAAGATCAGCATGCGCAATGCCAAGCGTCGGCTGGAGTGTTGTAAAGCTCACCGCCATTGGACTCTGGAGCAGAGGAAACAGGTTCTCTGGAGTGATGAATCATGTTTCACCATCTGGCAGTCCGATGGACGAATCTGGATTTGGAGAACGCTATCTGCCCCAACGCATAGTGCCAACTGTAAAGTTTGGTGGAGGAGGAATAATGGTCTGGGCCTGTTTTTCATGGTTTGGGCTAGGCCCCTTAGTTCCAGTGAAGGGAAAACTTAACACTACAACATACAATGACATTCTAGACGATTCTGTGCTTCCAACTTTGGGAAAGGCCCTTTCCTGTTTCAGCATAACAATGCCCCTGTGCACATAGCGAGATCCATACAGAAATGGTTTGTCGAGATCGGTGTGGAAGAACTTGACTGGCCTGCACAGAGCCCTGACCTCAACCCCATCAAACACCTTTGGGATGAATTGGAACGCCGACTGCCGACACACAGGTACAGACACACTCATACGCAGACACGCTAGCACACGCACTCTACACACACGTACATTGTAATATTGTTGAATGGTGGTATTATACATTTTGTATTGTAGATATGTAGTGGTGTAATAATGTTATATGATGAACTGCTTTTATCTTTTGTTTTTTGTGTGATGTAAGTGCCTTAATGTGTTTGGACCCCAGGAAGAGTAGCTTCGGCCTTGGCATCAGCTAATGGGGATCCTAATAAATACAAATACAAATTATTTTGGAATGAGATGTTCAATGAGCAGGTGTCCACATACTTTTGGTTATGTAGTGTACATTGAGGTAGTCATGATTGACTGCTGAGCAGCGTTTTGAAATCACTGAAGTTACGATAGTACTCCTGAGTGGCGCAGTGGTCTAAGGCACTGCATCGCAGTGCTAACTGTCACATAGACCTGTTCACATCCAGGCTCTAAACTGCACCCAGCGACGGGGTTGTGGCGCTCACAATTTGCCTAGCGTGCTGGTGAGGGAAGCCACAATAACTCTCTTGTAACACTATAACCAGGTTGGTTCATTCCACGGGGCCGTATCAAAAAAAGAACAAATTTGGTTTCAAACTTATCATTTGTATAGGTCTAAAACTAAATGTAAAAAACAGTAATGATCAAATGATAGTCAGTTGCTATATTTGTATAAAACTTTTTGGTTACCAGAAACTCTAAAACTTGCAAGTGTGGGTTTGGATCAATTTTGTAGTGTGGTGATGGAAATCATAATTCTGTAGACATTTAAGTTGTTTCTAATCTCTCTCTCTGACAGCTACAATCGTCTTATATTGACTCGTTGACGTCTCCTTTATAAACCCACAGTAACACAACAAATGTATTTCTACTATTGTAAATAAATACTTGTCAAATTTAAATCTACAAACCTTTGGCAATTTTGGGTTGTTGGGCAGATTTTGGGTAGTGTGCCAATATGTGACATTTCATTTAATTTCTAAGAGAGCCTGAAGTTTTGTTTCTATCTCTCTCTCTCCCACTCCCACGCCTACTATTGACTCGCCCTTACTCTCCCTCTTATACACACACACACACACGAACACACACACACATTCTTTCTCTCATTTTAACTCATACTCTCTCACTTACTCTACAGCACTCCTGTGAGGATGGCAGCCAGTTTCTCTCTCCTGGAAGAGGACCTGTCGTGTACAGTGTGCTATCAGATATTCAGGGAGCCAGTGATCCTGCTCTGCAGCCACAGCTTCTGCAGGGCCTGTCTGGAGGAGAGCTGGAGTAAAGGGGAGACGCAGGACTGCCCAGTCTGCAGAAGGTCCTCCAGAGACCAGTCGCCTCCCAACCTGGCCCTGAGGCATGTCTGTAAGACTCTACTGAAGGAGAGGGGGCATAAGGACACTCCTGGGCCCACAGAGGAGGCTACGGAAGGACACTCACAGGGTGGAAACACCAGACACAGGGGGTTTACAGGGTGTGTGTGGTTTACACTCCCTGAGGCTCCAGCTCTTCTGCCTTGAGGATGAGTGTCTGGTGTGTGTGGTGTGTGTGTCGGAGCATGCAGGCCACAGCTTCTGTTCTGTGGGGAAGGCAGCAGGCCAGAGGAAGGAGGGACTCAGACCCACACTGGAGGCCTTGGAGGAGAAAATGTCTGCCTTCTGCAAAGCTAAACTGTGACAAAATGGCTGCTCACGTCGGGGTGCAGGCCCAGCGAGCAGAGAAGCAGATAAAGGACGAGTTTGAGAAGCTACACTGCTTCCTGAGAGAGGAGGAGGTGGAGAGGCTAGCTGCACTGAAGGAGGAAGAGGAGGAGAAGAATACAAGGATGAAGGAGAGAGTGAAGGAGATAAGTGAGATGATGTCATCTCTGATGGACACAATCAGGGCTGTGGAGGAGAAGCTGGCAGTGGATGATGTGTTGTTTATGCAGAGCTACAAGACTATGATGGAGAGAGCACAGAGTGCGTCTCAGGACCCACAGCTGGGCTCAGGAGCACTGATCAACTTGGCCAAACACCTGGGCAATCTCAGTTTCCAGGTCTGGGAGAAGATGCAGGGGGCAGTGAAATACATGCCTGTAGTTCTAGATCCAAACACAACACATCCCTACCTCTATCCATCTGAAAATCTGACCAGCCTAAGATCCGAAGACAAAGGACAGAGTCTCCCAGACAACCCACAGAGGTTTGATTCATACCGAGACATCCTGGGTTCAGAGGGGTTAACTTCAGGGACACACTTCTGGGATGTGGAAGTCGGAGAAAATGATGACTGGAGGGTAGGGGTGGCCGGTGGGTCTGTTAGTAGGAAACAGGGGTTAGATGAAGAAGAAAGTTGAATATGGGCTGTTGGGGTAGCTAATGGTGAACCTTATAAAATGAAGAAGAATACTCAGAGGATCAGAGTTTCGCTGAAGTGGGACAAACAGGAGGTGTCCTTCATTGATCTTAGTTCATACACACAAACCCTCCGAACATTGAATCACAAATTTACAGAGAGTACGTATCCATACTTTTATTTGTTAAATGGTCAACCACTGCAGATCCTTCCAGAGAAAGTCTCTGTAAAGGTGGAAAACCATGAACATTAACCCCTACTAAGCTAACACTAAGCTAACATATGTCCCCTGTAGCTCAGTTGGTAGAGCATGGCGCTTGCAACGGCAGGATTGTGGGTTCGTTTCCCACGGGGGGCCAGTATGAAAAAATGTATGCACTCGCTAACTGTAAGTCGCTCTGGATAAGAGCGTCTGCTAAATGACTAAAATGTAAATGTAATATAGAATTGTTTTAAGGTGGTTATACCATGGATAATTTAGCTACTTGATTTAGAATGTTTTGATTATTTGATAAAATAATGAGTTTGGCCTTTACTGCTATAGCCCATAGAAATGCATTGAATAACACATAAATAAATGGCAAAACAGACAGTCAAAAAATAAATCATAAGGAATAAGGTTTTGAAGTGTTTCCTATACTGTATCTAGGAGATACTGTTTAAGAAAACTCAGGAAATATTTATATATTTTTGACACATTTAACCCCTTTTTTTGTTGGCACAAAAAAACTTCCATACATTTTTTAAACCGGTACTGGGTTACATTTTCAGACGAGTCCCGTAACACTTGTAGGCGTCGTAGAATAAAACAGAGAACGCCACTGTGTTCGTGAGGTTCTCCCCATTCCATATTAGTTTTTTGACCAAACCGTTCAGGTGCTACAGATGTTTTCGTGAGAAGTCGGGATGTCTACTGGTCTGACAAACAGCGCTGTAGTTCTGCCACTTTCCACTGCAGATGCGGAAGGCCGACATACTGTAGGCGGATGCGGTGGATTGAGAAGCAGCCATACAAAAAAACGGATATCTCTATCTTAAACAGATTTTAATGGGGATTATTTTATGTTAATTAGAGAAGGGAAAGGGGATACATAGTCAGTTGCACAACTGAATGCATTCAACCGAAATGTGTCTTCTGCATATAACCCAACCCCTCTGAATCAGAGAGGGGCGAGGGGCTGCCTTAATCGACGTCACGTCATCGGTGCCCGGGGAGCAGTTGTTGTTGGGGGTTAACTGCCTTGCTCAAGGGCAGAACCGCAGATTTTTCCACCTTGCCGGCTCTGGGATTTGAACCAGCATTGTTACATGGTTTGGTAACCTGACAGTGCAGCTCAAAGCCCAAATCTTGACCAAGACAGCAGGGAAGATTATAGGAATTATAACAACACAGGATGAGACCCAGATGCAGACACAGGAGGCAGATGGTTCGAGTTTCTGATATTTATTAAAATACAAGGGGCAGGCAAGAGGTAGGTGGAGGACAGGCAGAAGTTCGTAAACCAGGTCTGAGTCCGAAAGGTACAGGGCGGCAGGCAGGCTCGAGGTCAGGGCAGGCTGAATGGTCAGGCAGGCGGGCTCAGTGTCAGGGCAGGCAGAAATGGTTGGAACCGGGAGGACTAGAAAACAGGGACTAGGGAAAACCAGGAGTATGGCAAACCAAGCTGGTAGGCTTGACGAGACAAGACGAACTGACAACAGGCAGACAGAAAACACAGGTATAAATACACAGAGGATAATGGGAACAATTGGGAGACACCTGGTGGGGGGTGGAGACAAGCACAAGACAGGTGAAACAGATCAGGGTGTAACAGGAATCACACTTCCCTCCGCTCTCCATTTATGAGGAGACCAAAAGAGAGACCAAATTACAAAGTAACTTTTCTCCTCTTCATATTCTCATCAATGTTACTTTCCTTTGGTTTTGTGGCATTTGATGCAAAACAGAATCTATCCCATTGTTATTTAAAAAGCTGTTATGAGAATTTCTGTGATTGAACTAAAGTAGATTTAGGCTTATTGTTAATTTAGAATCGTCAGCTTGCCAAACACATTATCCATGTGCAAGACAGGACTTGCTAGCATTGTGATGAAAGCTTTCAATGCATGTTCTTTTTTTATGCTTTATCAGTACGTTTCAATGTAAAAAGGTAAATATTGAAAAAAGGCTTTTAAATTGATTTATTTGTTCTTTAATAAAAGAGACAATGGGCAAATATGTTCTATGTTTTGGGTGGTTAACTTCCAGAAGATTGAATTCCAACCCTTCTAAATGACCATGCCTGGTGTGTTGGAGCCCTGGGGAATATGAGGATGAGGATGACCAGACATGGAGAATCTGCTTCGTCACGCAGCTCTGCCTCACCTTGTCTCAATCTCGCCATCCTGTCTCCTCTCCTTTCTCCACGGCCCAGTCGGCTTGATCGCATCAATAGAAATCCTATTCAAACCCATACTGGAGAAGAGCTGAAAATCAATGGCTTGCATATCACCTGATTAGATCTCTGTGTGTGTGTGTGCCGGCCTGTTGTGTGTGGGGCATGGGGCTGGGGCCCCGCAGGCGGCAGCCCCTCTACATGGGAGACAATAATGAGATTTCCCCGGCCTCCAGGACCCCACACAACAGACACAGTGATCATATTAGTGAAAAGGACACTAAAACTTTTAAAAAGCTATGACTTCATCCCTGTCTGTCTGTCTGTCTGAGGGGAATGAATCTCCTCTGGATTGGCCACGCTCTCTCTCAGGGTACTGTAACACAACACAGGCAGTAGGCCTATTGTTTTTTCTTGAGCCTTTCGACCAGTTCTCGTATTTCTCTCTGGCGACCGTGCCTCAGTGTTCCTGTATGCCTGCCGGCTAAGCAAGTGTGACCGCTTTGGGAATCGTGGTGAAGCAGCTGTTAGGTGTGTGTGGAGGCTGTTGGCTGTCTGTTGAAGCCTGCGCTAGCTGAAGGTGGTGGTCATGGGGGGGGGGGGGGGGGGGGGGATTGATTGTGTCACTTTGATGGATTAGTGATCTCATTGCTAGCTCCAGTGATTAGGTCACCGGCCCAGGAGACAGCAAACCACCTACTGCGAAATGCTGATGCTAGACTTGTTCACTGATTCTAAGTCACTGCATCAATGCCAAGCTGAGCTCCAGATAGTCAGAGGGCCTCCGTGAATAATAGGCCAGAGTCCCCTTAGAGAGGAAGGAAGCGGATATCATGGAATCAGTGCAACACACACACCCACACACGGAAACATTTACTGTAAGCCCCCAGCCCTCCCTCACCATAATGAAATTCCTCTCTTCCCATGAGCCCACCTTCATTTGTTCAGTGGTGAATTCTCTGGCTGTTAAACTGAAGGATGGACTGTACAGGTTGTCTGGCTTTTATCTTTTTCCATGATTCATCTACATCTCTCCTTTGAAAGGGAGAGGTACAACAGTGTTTTTAGTCATTATTCCATCTGAGACAAGCAGATCTAACCAGCACTGGAGAAGAGGTAAAATAGACTTATCATCTTATGAGGGTCATCCCATACTTTCATTGAGGCATGGAAACATTACTGTACCAAGAGAGATGACTGCATTAGGGTTTATGGGATATTACAGTAGAAGCTATGGCATCAGGTGGCTATGCTCTCTTCATACAGCCAAACGATGCCATGGTGACATCCATCTATCCCACACCACTTTACAGCTGGATTCACATGACATAAATGTGATTAAGTAGGGGAAACAGTTGGTTTTATTACCGCTCCAGAAATCATACAATATTGTTCTCCATAATAACACAATTTTAATAAAGGGCACATTTCAATGGCTTGTCTATTTCTATTTAAAGCTCTCTATGTTAGAGTGGGACATTTGTGTTTTTGCCGGTTTCAGCATGTTCCTAATGACAGACCTGGTCAGATATCTGTAAATATTAACTTGCTATATTATATTGTGCAATGGCGTCAAAATCAGACAGAGCTGTATGCCTAGCAACAGCTTCAAGAACAGTATTCCCTTCCTTCTCCCTGTCTCAGGCGGGGTCACTTAGAGGTCACTTTTTTACAATTAGTTGCACCAATACCATGTACTTTCATGGAATTTTGATTTCTCTGTGATACTGTATGTAACCACACACTACAACCAGGTAACTCATTTCAAACGGTAACTCTAACAATGTAACTGTCTGTGGCAATGTAATGTGACAATGGAACTCTTTGTCAACTAGAAGAAGAGGACCTCCAGCTGTAGTAAAAGCCTGGGCCATGTGAAGCTGAGGCAGCAGCAGCATCATAAAGATAAAATGGGTGTTCTCTCTGGCCTCCATTCTCTGGGCTCCTGCAGAGCCTTTTGTCTGAATACATACACAACTGTGGATGGATGCGTTTTATAGCCTGTGTCATGGAGAAATACACTCCTATTCTCAATGATTGCTGTCGCCTGCTGGGCATGCTTATCATGCTATTGTCATTGTTTTATTGGCGTAACTAATGGATCTGATAAGACTGCTTCTGCCAAAGACTTGCACATGCCATGTGCATATGTACAACAGCAGGCTTTAGTAGCTCTGAAGTACAGTACAATAGTTCAGGTGTAGAAATGTACTGTGTTGGTTGTTAACACGACAAAGACTCTTACATTTTCAAGATTGTGTGTTAGTTAGAAAACAATACCGTGTTGACATATGCATAGTAGTTGATGATAGTTTCTTAGGAATGTTTCAGTAAATCAAATTAGAACTGTAAATAAACTCAAAGTTTATACTTCTTTGTTCCAGATCACTAGCCAAATTATTAATCTATGTTCTGTATACTGAGTGTACAAAACATTAAGAACACCTTCCTAATATTGAGTTGCACCCCCCTTTGCCCTCAGAACAGCCTCAATTTGTCGGGGCATGGACTCTACAAGGTGTAGAAATCGTTCCACAGGGATGCTGGCCCCTGTTGACTCCAATGCTTCCCACAGTTGTGTCAAGTTGGCTGGATGTCCTTTGGGTGGTGGACCATTCTTGATACACACGGGAAACTGTTTAGCGTGAAAAACCCAGCAGCGTTGCAGTTCTTGACACACTCAAACCAGTGTGCTTGTCACCTACTACCATACCCCGTTCAAAGGCACTTAAATATTTTGTCTTGCCCATTCACCCTCTGAATGGCACACATACACAATCCATGTCTCAAGGCTTAAAAATCCTTCTTTAATCTGTCTCTGTAAGGGATCGGGGGTTGGCTGGGTCTAGACAGAGTCTGACACTTCCCCGATCTACAGAGAGGGGGAGTCATCAGACTCGATCTGGTTCACCTGAGTTCTGAGCACACCTGTCAGTAATTAGTGTAGGATATAAGGTGTGCTCAGAAGTTCAGTCGGTGCGAGGTATTGTTCCTTTGTGACTTGCTAAGCGTTTTGTTCAGAGAGAGAGAGAGATAGTTTGTTTTGATTACCAGTGTACCAGACCTGTGCTTCGTTGTTTGACTCCCCGAATTGCTTAATCCTCTGCTTGTCTATCCCAGTGATTACCGTACTCTGAACCTGTGTCCGTGCCCTCGACTACGACTACGCCCGCTCCCTTGGTACCTCTGCCTGTCTCTGCCTTGCCCGGTTTTGACCACAGCTCGCCAGACCACGATTAAGCTATTCCCTTGTCTGTACTCTAATAAAGCATCGCAATTCTGCGATTGGATCTTACCACTCTGTCCGAGTATTCATTACAGAATACCTCGCCCAACCATGGATCCAGCGGAATTACAGAGGCGATGGGAGATACAGGAGAAACGGATGGATGAACTCCTGCAGCTACTCAACGCTGGTGCGGCTGAAGGCACCACCCCGAGCACGGTCAGTCCTCGTCAGGCACCTCCGATTTCTCTACCGACAAAGTACGACGGGGAACCTGGCAAATGTCAGGGGTTTCTACTCCAGACGTCCCTGTATATGTCCTATAATCGTACTATGTTTCCCGATGACCGTAGCAGGGTGGATTTCATGATTTCTCTGCTAACGGGAAGAGCACTGGATTGGGCTACTGCGCTTTGGGCAGCTGAGGTCCCCGAGTTGAATGCGGAAGTTCAGTTTAAGAGACTGTTCCAAGAGGTGTTCGACCACCCAGTATCTGGGCGTAGCGTGGGAGACCAACTATGTGAACTTCAGCAGGGCCGTCGCACAGTAGCCGACTACGCTTTAGAGTTCCGTACTATAGCAGCCGGTAGCGGATGGAGCGAGACTGCTTTGCTCACCGTTTTCCGAAGAGGGCTGCGCAAAGAAGTACAGACTGAGTTGGCTTGTCGGGGAGATATCACTGCGCTACATGAGTTTATCAACATCGCCATCTCTATTGATAATCTGATAGTGCAACACAAGGTATCCACAGTCCGGGAGCTCTCGGTCGCTGGTCCTAAGCAATCGACAGAGCGGAGGAGAGAATCTGAGGAGGAACCCATGCAACTGGGACGGTCACCTCTACAGGGTTCGGTGAGACAACAACGTCGGCAAGACGGACTATGCCTGTATTGTGGTCAGTCGGGTCATTTCATTCGGCAATGTCCGGTACGACCAAACCGTACCCCAGAATATCGCCTCGGAACTGCCAAACCGGTGAGTGAGACTCACGTTTTCAACATTACATCTAAACAAATGTATGTGCCAGTTACCTTATCTGTTGGAGAGAGAGTGCGCAGGTTGGAAGGTCTTATTGATTCCGGGGCGGCTGCCAGTTTTATGGATGTGTGTCTCGCTGAGGAATTGGGAGTTCAACTTATCCCAATTCAACCTCCCCTGCGAGTCAACACGCTAGACGGTGAGCCCATGGGCACTGGGTTCATTACGCACCGTACCGAGGAAATCAAGTTACAAGTGGGCTCCATACACCATGAGAACATCATTCTGTTCGTCATTTCCGCTCCACGGGAGCCGCTAGTTCTCGGCCACCCCTGGCTTGTCACCCATGATCCGGTCATCTCCTGGAAATCTGGCGATATCACTGCTTGGAGTGAGGTATGTAGGGCAGAGTGCCTCAATTTACCGTGCAAAATGTCTACTGTGGAGGATGCGCAGGGTGCGGTATCTACTGTTGTTCCTACAGAATACCAGGATTACGCGCAGGTGTTCTCCAAGGAGAGGGCTACCGTGTTACCACCTCATCGGGCCTGGGACTGCGCGATTGATCTGCTATCCGGGGCTACACCTCCTCGTGGAAGAATCTACCCGTTGTCACAGCCGGAACGAGAATCGATGAGCAAGTATATTGATGAGGCGCTACAGCAAGGGGCCATTCGCCCATCTACGTCTCCCGCCGCATCCAGTTTTTTCTTCGTGAAGAAAAAGGATGGCGGACTGCGTCCTTGTATAGACTATCGAGGTTTGAACGATATTACCATCAAAAATCGTTACCCTCTTCCTTTGATTCCAGCAGCCCTCGAGCAGGTGGGGCAGGCCTCAATCT